TCACAGCCTAATTCTACTGGACATACAAAGAGGAGCTGGTACCATTCCTTCTGAAACCATTCCAAACAATACAAAAACAGGGAATGCTTCCCAAATCATTTTATGAGACCAACATCATCCTGATACTAAAACCTGGCAGAGACTCAACAAGAAAAGAAAACTTCAGGCCAATATCTATGATAAACATAATGCAAAAATCTTCAATAAAATACTGACAAGCCTATTGCAACAGCACATCAAAAAGCTTATCCACCATGATCAAGTAGGCTTCATCCCGGGGATGCAAGGCTGGTTCAACATACGCAAGTCTNGATCAAGTAGGCTTCATCCCGGGGATGCAAGGCTGGTTCAACATACGCAAGTCTATAAACGTAATTCACCACATAAACAGAACCAAAGACAAAAACCACATGATTATCTCAGCAGATGCAGAGAAGGCCTTTGACAAAATTCAACAGCCCTTTATGCTAAAAACCCTCAATAACTTAGGTATTGACGGAACGTATCTCAAAATAACAAAAGCTATTTACGACAAACCAACAGCCAATATCATACTGAATGGGCAAAAACTGGAAGCATTCCCCTTGAAATCTGGCACTAGACAAGGATGCCCTCTCTCACTAATCCTATTCACTATAGTACTGGAAGTTCTAGCCAGAGCAATCAGGCAAGAAAAAGAAATAAAGGGTATTCAAATAGGAAAGGAGGAAGTCAAATTGTCTCTATTTGCAGACGACATGATTGTATATCTGGAAGACCCCATTGTCTCAGCCCAAAATTTCCTGAAACTGATACGCAATTTCAGGAGAGCCTCAGGATACAAAATCAATGTTCAAAAATCACATGCATTCCTATACAGCAATAACATACTTAAAGAGAGCCAAATCAAGAACAAACTGCCATTCACAATTGCCACAAAGAGAATAAAATACCTAGGAATACAACTAACAAGGAACGTAAAGGACCTGTTCAAGGAGAACTACGAGCCACTGCTCAACAAAATAAGAGAGGACACAAACAGGTGGAGAAACATTCCATGTTGGGAAGAATCGATATCGTGAAAATGGCCATACTGCCCAAAGTAATTTACAGATTCAACGCTATCCCCATCATGCTACCAATGACTTTCTTCACAGAACTGGAAAAAAACACCTTAAACTTCATACAGAACCAAAAGAGAGCCCACATAGCCAAGTCAATTCTAAGCAAAAAGAACAAAGCAGGAGGCATCACACTACCAGAGTTCAAACTATACTACAAGGCTACAGTAATCAAAACAGCATTGTACTGGTACCATAACAGAGATGTAGACCAATGGAACAGAACAGAGGCCTCAGAGGCAACACAACATATCTACAGCCAACCGATCTTTGACAAACCAGACAAAAACAAACAATGGGGAAAGGATTCCCTGTTTAATAAATGGTGTTGGGAAAACTGGCTAGCTATGTGCAGAAAGCAGAAACTGGACCCCTTCCTGACACCTTACACTAAAATTAACTCCAGATGGATTAAAGACTTAACATAAGACCTAACACCATAAAAACCCTAGAAAAAAATCTAGGCAAAACCATTCAGGACATAGGCATAGGCAAGGACATCATGACCAAAACAACAAAAGCATGGGCAACAAAAGCCAAAATAGACAAATGGGGCCTAATCAAACTCCACAGCTTCTGCACAGCAAAAGAAACAGTGATTAGAGTGAATCGGCAACAAAACAGAATGGGAAAAAAATTTTGCAGTTTACGCATCTGACAAAGGGCTGATATCCAGAATTTACAAAGAACTAAAACAGATTTACAAGAAAAAAAACAAAGAAGCCCATTCAAAAGTGGGCAAAGGATATGAACAGATACTTTACAAAAGAAGACATACATGAGGCCAACAAGCATATGAAAAAATGCTCATCATCATTGGTCATCAGAGAAATGCAAATCAAAACTACATTGAGATACCATCTCACGCCAGTTAGAATGGCGATCATTAAAAAATGTACAGAAAACAGATGCTGGAGAGGATGTGGAGAAACAGGAACACTTTTACACTGTTGGTGGGAGTGTAAATTAGTTCAACCATTGTGGAAGACAATGTGGAGATTCCTCAAGGACCTCAAAATAGAAATTCCATTTGACCCAGCAATCCCATTACTGGGTATATATCCAAAGGATTATAAATAGTTCTGCTATAAGAATACGTGCGCATGAATGTTCATTTTGCTGTTTACAATAGCAAAGACCTGGAACCAACCCAAACGCCCATTCATGATAGACTGGACAGGGAAAATGTGGCACATATACATCATGGAATATTATGCAGCCATCAAAAACGATGAGTCTGTGTCCCTTGTAGGGACATGGATGAACCTAGAAACCATCATTCTCAGCAAGCTGACAGAAGAGCAGAAGATCAAACACTGCATGTTCTCACTCATAGGCGGGTGTTGAACAATGAGAACACATGGAAACAGGGAGGGGAGCACTACACACTGGGGTCTGTTGGGGGGAAATAGGGGAGGGATGCTGCGTGGTGGGGAGTTGGGGAGAGATAGCATGGGGAGAGACGCCGATGTAGGTGATGGGAAGGCAGCAAATCACACTGCCACGTGTGTACCTATGCAACAATGTTGCATGTTCTTCACATGTACCCCAAAACCTAAAATGCAATAAAGTAAATAAATAAATAACATCTCATTGCATATTTTCTGGCTTTTTTGCCAGTGTATCTATTTTTTTTATAAAAACAATTGAGTCATATTGAAAAAAAAATCTTTATTGTTTGTTTCCTACAAATAGTATATAGGTTTTAGCACACAAAATTAATGCCTACTTCAGAATTATATCAAACGCTGCTAGCGTTGATCATTCTAGCTAACCATGACAGGTCAGAGATGACCTAGTCAAAAAATTGGACATTTTTAGGGATCACATGTTATAATTTAATAATACTACTACCTTACATTTACTGAGTACAGTTATGAGTTGCCTAATGATGAGGGTATGTTCTGAGCAATGTGTCCATTGTTGTGTGAACATCATACAGTGTATTTAAACAAACCTAGACGGTATAGCCTACTACACACCGAGGCTATATTGTATAGCCTATTGCTCCTAGGCTGTAAACCTGTACAGCATGTTATTGTACAAAAAATTGGAGCTAATATGCAATGAAATATAGCTACTATTGAGGGCAAATTTTCAACTGCCTTCTATTGCCCTCAGGAGGCTGGCGAAGTGAGACAGTTTTTCAAAAATAAGTACAAAAACTAACTGGTAGTCAGGTGCAGAATTATCACGTTCTAGATGCATTAACACAAGTGGTCACTAGAAGTGGACATACATTATTTTAAAATCAAGATGCTTTAGAAGTCACACTTGCCTCCCCCCCAAAAAACTGTACTATTTGGGACAAATACCCCTCTACTCCAACAGTTCTTACAAAGGACTTTAAAATCTCTCAAAATCACTGATAATACTAAATATGCAGTGAATAGCATAACCTGAAAGACACCTGACTGACAACCCACTATGTGGCTGTAATTAAATTTGCCTAGCATTGAGTCCTGGCTTTACTTGAAGAAACATTAATTACAGATCTGGAGTACTGTCCCATTCCTCCTAATTTTACTGATCAATTGTTTGAATGGTTTTGATTTTGTTTTTGTTTTCCAAGACAAAAACAGGCTTGTTTTCTGAGACAAGGTCTTGCTCTGTTGCCCAGGCTGGAGTGTAGTGGCACGATCTCAGCTGACTGCCACCGCTTCCTCCTGGATTCAAGAGATTCTCCTGCCCTCAGCCTCGCAAGCATGCCAGGCTACTTTTTATATTTTTAGTAGAGATGGTGTTTCCCCATGTTGGCCAGGCTGGTCTCTAACTCCTGACCTTATGATCCATCTGCCTTGGTTCCCCAAAGTGCTGGGATTACAGGCATGAGCTACTGCACCTGGCCCTTTGTTTGTATGTAACAATGTTTTAAAGTCTGTAGTTATTGTCTTGCCACATGGTACAAATAATGATTCTCTTAGCAAAGCAGAACAAAATTACAATAATAATCAAAACCTCCATCTCACCTTCTTAAATTCCTGGCAGTCAGTTTGATCTAGACAATATTTAGGAATCTCTTCTATGACCTGGTTAGAGAAGACCTCAAGGGAGGGCTTAGAATGAAAAATTTCACTCTCTCAGAGAACGTGATCTGCAAACATTCAGTAACCTGTATCTTCCAATGAAGCAAATGACATTTACAGAAAATTATCAAAATTGACTAAATTGGTAGTGAACTGAAGCCCTCACTTATCTGAACTGAAGCAAGCCTTTTGAAACCCAACTAATCAGTGATTAGCAATGCTTTCCTCTGATTTAAAAATAAAAAATAAAAAATAATAAAAAAAAAACCTTGTTTTCTTTTAAGTCTAAACTAAAATTCTCACCACAAATTTTATATAATATTTTGAAAAACTGCATTTTCACTTGAGGTTTCTTTTCTGTAGGAATAAAAATTCAATATAAATTCAGAGAGGTTTTTTGTTGTATTTCACAATCAAAAAAATCTTGTTTTTGTGCCAGGCACAGTGGCTCACACCTGTAATCCCAGCACTTTGGGAGAACGAGGTGAGCAGATCATTTGAGGCCAGGAGTTTGAGACAAGCCTGGCCAACATGGTGAAACCCCATCCGTACTGAAAACACAAACTTAGCCAGGAGTGATGGTGTGCTCTTATACTCCCAACTACTGGAGAGGCTGCAGCAGGAGGATTGTTTGAACCTGGGATGCAGAGACTGCAGTTAGCCGAGATTGGGCCACTGCACTACAACCTGGGCGACAGAGAGAAACTCTGTCTCAAAAAGAAAAAGAAAAAAATTTTATTTTCTTTAACACTAATATACATTATGCAAGAATTCAGTCATTAAAACATATGTTTACATTTTTGTTCCATAGAATTCATTAACAGAGTTGGCATAATCAAAATTTAGTGCCTAAGAAGAAAATTATAATTATTACCTTTTCCAAGTAACTCTTCACATTGTTTGTCAAAACTCCGACACTTTCCATTAAAACAGTAGGCTGCACCCGAATCACAATATTCTCCATTGCGTGCATAAGTGTCAGGCATGCATTGTGAAAGGTTCCCATTGCAAAATTCAGTGAAATCACATTCTTTATCAACTGATTTCCTACAAATTGTATTAACTGGTTTGAACTAGGAAGAGAAACATAAAATATTAAATACTTACGATATTTAATTTTTATTTTGCCGTAGGCTCTAAATGCCGGTCCATTTTTTTCCCATAAGTTTCTAATAGCAATTAGAAAATTAAATCTTCTTGTTAACTACTTGAGCATCACACGGTATTCTTAAAATATCTCCTTTTAAAACCTGCAATGTTTTTTAAATGTTTATGATGAGGAGTTATCGTTTTATAAATGGCTGCTGATTTCTTCTTTGGGATTGATATGAAGAAACCAGAAACTGCGCAACTGAGCATAGCCGTAAGGGTTAACAAGTAATTTTTATATTCCCTAGCTCCACTTTGTCTTTCTTTCGTTTATGGACGTCTGCTTATCTTTGAGTTTCTAGCTTCTCTTATAAGCATTACCCATTTTTTATGCACAAGAAATTTAATCACATAAATGATTAAGATATTCTAAGAACACAAAGAAAATTTCATATTTATTTCAAATTTTATGTTGCAAAAAACTTAAAAATAACTTCCATGATTACATATTTCTGATCTCTTCAGCATTTACTCTTTAGCTGATAGCTTCTGGGCTTCCCTTTTTATAAACCTGCTTTTTCTAAGAAGCATGTAACCATCATCTCTGAATACTCTTCTTTCTTCAACACATGCCCCAATCTCCCATGGCTGTGGTCATTATTCTATACAAAGTAAATAAAAATTTTCCTAGCCTTCAAAGGTACTGAAGGCCCAGCTTACATAACATTTATTTATCTTCTCAAAATTGGTTTCTGCCAACTTTTTCTTAAGTTTTCAAGTATTTACTATCTGCAACAAATCTCACACAAATTCTACAGGTGGTGGATGAGAAGACAAATTCAATATCTGCTTGTGTCACTCAAGTTTACAGAGTAAACATTTAATTCAAAACCAGTGATTCAAAGTGTTTATAAAGGAAAATTTGCATACGTATAATGAGAAAGTATCAATACTTTTTTCTTCAGAATTTGTTTCCTTCTACAAGGAAAATGTTATTCTAACATTTTTTAAAAATACCTATGAACATTCACTTCTTCAAATGTTTTTTGAATCAGATTTTATCATCTGGCTGGCTCCTCCATTGAGAGGTTAAAAAAAACTCTTTTAAAAATATTTTGTGATCACCATTCTAACTGGCATAATATGGTATCTTAATGTGGCTTTGATTTACATCTCTCTCATTTATTTCGCAGTAGGCTCTAAATGCTGGTCCATTTTTTTTCCCATAAGTTTCTAATAGCAATTAGAAAATTAAATCTTCTTGCAACTTCCATAATTTTGCAATTGTGAATTGTACTGCTATAGACGTGTGTAAACAAGGGTCTTTTTCATATAATGACTTATTTTCCTCTGGGTAGATACCCCAGAGCGGTATTGCTGGATCAAATGATAGATCTACTTTTGGTTTAAATTTATGTTAAAAATTTGAAATATCTTGATACAATTCATAATAATCACACAATATACTAAAACTTATCAGATTCAGCAAAAATCATTCTAGTGGGGAAGTTTATAGCAATAAATATCTACATCGAAAAAGAAAATATCAAACAATCAACCTAACATTAATTACACCTCAAGGAACTAGAAAAACCAAAGTTCAATATTAGTAGAAAAAAATGAAATAAAGATAAGAACAGAAATAAATGAAATAGAGACTAGAAAAAAAAGCAATGAAACTAGTAAATATTGGTCAATTGTCATAGACTTTGTGAAGTTACATATTAACTTTTAGGTTTTTGTCTGATAGAATAGGAAATAATTCCTGTCATTTAGAAAAGATAATCAAATACATTATGGTTTATTTCCTGTGGATATTAGCCAGTCTTGAACACAGCAATATTATTCTAACATTCTTTGGTTTCCAAATCCTATTTATATACGTTTGTTGCATACTTTTGAACAAGCCTATTATTCTTCCTAGTTCCCTCATTAATGAGTTCAATAAAACTCTGACATGTAAATTTTATTTTCAGAGTAGCCCTTTTGAATTTATTGAAAATTATGCTTTTCTCAGGGTCACTTCATTATTTTTGATTATTCGTGTGTATGTGGGCATGTGTGTGTGTGTCCAAAAATCTGTGGCAATCTCAACATAAAATGATTATAAAGAATAGCTTACTGAATTAGCATATTTTCAAAAAACAATTCCAAAAATATATATGCATTGCACCCCAAATATATACCTGGTAAATAACTAGAACAAACACTGTTTTTAAGGTTAGGAAATTGTGAGCCTATAATGTGACTTGACAAGATGGGTAATGGATTGTTTTTATTTTTGAAAGATTTATTACATATTTATTTATTATTGCCAAAATTTTGAAGTAAACAAAATGTCTTTCAATAAATAAATACATACATAAACTCTGGTACATTCATATAATTGAATATTATCCAGCAATAAAAAGCAATTAGCTACCAAGCCGTGCAATATAGCTATAGAACATAGATGAACTATAAATGTATGTTGGTAATCAGAAGAAGCCGATCAGAATAGACTACATGCTATATTCTTACAACTATATGACATTCTGAATGACTAAGGTATAGACATAAATTTAAATCCAAACATTCTGATTTCGGTTTTGTTCTATTATGCCACATCATTTCTCATAATATATTATTTTCAATAACATCTCCATATTCTTATTTACCTTTTCTTTTCAGAGATATCAACTGCTCCACTGACATGCTGGATGACATTTCCATCATTCTGCAATTCTCACTTTAAAACCTTCACGGTTACCATTTTAATAGATGTTTCCCACAGCCTAAAAATATGCTCAAATAGTTTTATTTTCACTTATTATCAACTAACACAACTTTTGAGTCCACAATCACTAAATTCAGGAGAAACATGTTTCTTGGCTACTAGGTGGGAGTTCATCTTCGTCAGGGTGATCTTTTCTGTTTTTAACTTTATTGAGGTTTAATTCGTAACTTACGTACCATAAAATTCACCTATATTAAGTGTACACTTTAGCGCTATTTTAAGGAAATTTACATATGTGTGCAACCAGCACCACAATCCAAGTTTAAGACATTTCTACTACCATAGTATGAGATCCCTGGTATCCATTTATAGTTAATCCCCATGCTTGTGGCTGGCCCCATGTAACCACTAATCTACTTACTGTCTCTATAAATTTGCCTTTTGGAACCTTTTCTACAAATAAAATCATGAAATATAAGGATTTTGTATTTAGCTTCTCTAGTATAGTAGTGTTTTTAAGATTGTAGTATGTATGAGTATTCTGTCATGTTTATGGTTCTCTAGTATTCCATTGTATGGATATATCATAATTTTTTGCCAATTAGTTTATAGATATTTGAGTTGTTTCCAGATTTTGGTCATTGAATAATGTTGTTATAGACATTTCATATGCAAATTTTTGTAAGCACATGTTTTCATTTCTCTTGGGTAGACCTAGGAGTATAATCAATCCTTTGGTCAATTGGCAAACTTATGTTAAACTGCTTAAGAGACTGTCAAACTGTTTCCCAAAGTATTAGTAACACTACTTTAGGGTTCTACTAGCAGTAAATGAGTTCCAGTTTCTCTATGTTTTCAGCAATATTTGTTATTTTCTGTCATTTGATTACAGCCATTCTAGTGGGTGTCTCATAGTATCTTGTTTGAATGTATACATTTCTAATGACTAAGAATGTCTTCACAATTTTTAATGTATTTATTATTCCATGTATTTATTTTGTATATATTTCTATTTATTTTATATATCATTGTATATAACTTTGTATATATTTACCTATTTTCTTTGATAAAATACCTCTTCAAATATTTCATACATTTGTAATTGAATTGTTTCCCTTCAGTTTTTGAGTTGTTAGCATTATTAATAGATCATGTATACAATTACTATATCAGAAATATAATTCATAAATATTTTCTTCTTCTCTGTGGCTTTTTTATTGTCTTAATAGTGTTTTCTGAGGCACAAAGGATTTCAATTTTGATACAGTCCAGTTTGCCAACATTTATTTTATGAATTATGCTTTTGGTGTTTTATCTTGGAAATTTCTACCAAATCCAAGTTTATGAATATTTTTTCCTATGTTTTCTCCCAATAGATATATAGTTTTAACTACTGCAGTTAGATTGATTTTCTATTTTAAGTTAAATTTTGTGTATGGCATAATAGAAGGGTACAAACTTACTTTTTTTGTATGTGGATATTGAATTGTCCCAATAGCCTTTGCTGAAAAGACTATTATTCCTTTATCAAATAGTTTTGACTCATTTGTCAAAAATCAATTGACTATAAATATAAAAGTTTATTTCTCAAATTTCAAGTCCATCCTATTTATCCACATATTTATTGTTATGCCAGTACAATGTTAAGCTAGAATACTTCAGCTTTGTAGTAATTTTTGAAATATGAAATTGTGGCTCCATCAACTTGTTCTTCAGGATTGCTTTAGCACTTCCAGGTTCCTTGCATTTCTAGAATTTTTGGGATGATCTCATCAATTTATGTAAAGAAGGTCTACTGGAATTTTACCAAAGATTGCCTTAAATCCATAGATCAATTTGGAGATGTACAGAAAAGAGTTAACATAGCAGACTTAAGACTGCTATACTTAGAAAGCTCTATTCACAAGGCTGAGTTAGAGTTCCTACCATTGCCTAACTAATAAGTCACTGTGCCTTAACTGTTTAGACCTTGTTATTTATAATAAACAACTGATTTCCATCTAAGATTCTGGAATTTTGGTAGATGATAGGCAAAAAGGGCCTATGTGACCAGCCTACAGTAATAACTTTAGGCTCTGGGATCCTGCCAGTTATCATTTCGCACATGTTGTCATAATTCATTGCTGGAGGAATTAAGTACACCTTGGGTAAGTTTACTAGGAAATGACCCTTGGAAACCTGTGACTACTTTCCTTCATACTGGACCCATGAGCCATTTTTCTTTGCTAATTTTCCTTTATATCGTTTTCTGTAATAAATTATAGTGAT